ACTGACAATCCCCGTAAACAGCTAAAAAAGAGTCAAATTATTTTCAAAATTGTTTAGTGTATAGAAAATGCTAATATAAACCTTCAGTGAAATTTTCAAGTATCTGCAGTAATTTGTTTTTTAATTATAATAAAATAAGAAATCGGTACATGAGAAATCGAGTGAATATCAATTTTTTTAAAAATATGAATTTCAAACGCTCATAAAAATTTAATTTGAGTTTCTTGTAGACATTTTTTTTTTTTTTGATAAAGGTAGATAAACTTATGAGAAATCTTGTATTACATTTTAAAATCTTAGATTAAAAAAGAAAATTTCTTATGAATTACTAATTCAAAATAATTTGCAAATTTTCGTCATTTGTACGTATTTTGTCAATATTTGAACTTTAAAGGCTTATAAAAAAAAAATTGTGACTACGGATGTTTAATTTTTTTCATCTGCCTTTGAAAAAATATACTAGGGGCCTTCTATTAAATTTTGAAGCTTTTTTTAAACCAACAAATACTATTGTATTGGTATTTAGAGAAAAAAAAACTAAAAAAAATGGAAACTGAAAATGTTCGTAAACAGCTCAAAATAAGTCAAAATATTTAAAAAATGTTATGGTGTATAGAAAATGCTAATATGAACATTCAGTCAAAATTTCATGTAACTCCTTTCATTTGTTTAAGAGTTGCACCAAAAACCAAAATCAATTTTTTCGAAAAATTCCCGTTTTTTCTTAATTTTCCTTTTGTTTTTCACGGCGCTTTTGAAAACTATTGGAAAAATTTTACTCTTGACCCCCCAAAGTACCAACTAGATTCACTTTTATTTGAAAAAAGATGCTGTTGAAGACAATCTAAGCACTTTTACTGATAGGTGATGACAGACACAAAAAAAATAAAAATAAACACACATCATTGTAAAATCAATACTTTCATCGTTTAACTCAGAATCTAAATTAGTCGGGAGCATTGGTTGAATGTCATGGTGTTGCTGTTTAGCTTTTATATTGTATATACGTAAAAGTCTTATCGTCAGTCGTCATTGTAGAAGACGCGACAATTTACCGTCTGCACCACGGTAACCAAACACGACGTTTCCGGGTCACCGCAGGAAGTCGAGGTCGCTAAACGACAGCGAATAAAATGACCATAATAGAAAACAAAAACTGATACAGTCACCTCCTACTGACTCCGTACGTCGATATATTATTATATTGTGTTAGTCGTAAATTCGTAACGGTGCGCAACGGTTATCGTGGCACGGGGAGGTGTGTCGGTGACTGTGATTCAATCGGGCCGGTGGGCTTGGAAGTCGGTCTTCGGCGGCACGCTGCGAATCGGAAGGTCGTCAAGAGCCCGCGTCCGGAACACGCACTCCTTATTATTATACGCGTTTAACCCTTCGGCTGCTTTATTTGAACGTATATTATAATATATTTATGCGAGTCGTGTGAGTGGGGTTCGAGACGGTGAGTGCGAGAGAGAGCACGACGAAACTGTAGGATAAGCAGATTGGCGAGCAGGTGGGTCACACGTGTGTATATACATATATATATAGTCGCATAGTCGCACCGCCGTTGCCAGCGTGCTGCAAGCGGACGCGGATATAAGGTTTGACGTGACGAGCTGGTGTGTGTGTGTCTGTGATATATTTGAGTATATGTAATATGTATATAGATTATACACAAACGGACCAATTCAATTTCACGGTGCCGAGGGTTCGTCGTATGTCATGTTCACGACCACACGGCGATTTACTGCACCACTGATAGTGCACCGACGATCGAACTCAAGATTTTTTCCGAATCGTCAGATTCCCCTCTAGTACAACGTTTTATTATTATTATTATCGTCATTTTATATGCATGCGGTTCTATAAATGCCCGTGGTTGGTATACAGTTTTTTAACGTTAGACATTGTCGTCCTCCTTTATCAGAAGGTGCATATTACTGCAGAAGATCGAAACAACTAAACAAAGGTTGTGATGTGTATTTGTCTGCACTTAATTTTTCAAAAATGTTTACTTCTTTGAAAATTTGTTCTTACATAATATTATGATATTTTTGAAAAAAAAAAAAATATATATTTTATATTGGTTAAGCGTTTTTATTTTTAAGAAATATTTGATAGGTGGTCTATATATCACTGAGGAACTCCACCCAATATTGGTCCACTACACAACTCATGTAAGCTTTAAATACTTAAAAGGCAAAAGTCATAACTATAATTACTACAGTGGTGGATCCAGGGCTTAATTTTGGGAGGGGTATGAGGGGGGAAATACAAAAAGTTCCAAAAATTGGATAAACACAGTGTAAAACAAAGGAAAACTACAGCGATTGGGGGGGGGGGGCAAATGCCGCCTTTGCCCTCCCCTGGATCTGCCACTGAATTACTATAAGGTAGGTACTCGTTTGAAATTTGATATTTATATTGTATCGAACTATCGAAGTACTCGGGAAAATATTCTTCTTAGGAGTATGAAATTAAAAGTATATTAAATGGTTGAAGCAAAAAGGAAAAAATTAAAAAAATGTAAAGTAGGTGTTTAATTTTTTTTTTTTAAAACGTTGTCTTGAAATATAATTACGAAGAGATAAGTTTTTAATTTTTGTACAAAATTTTTGACAGAACATAACCGATGATCATTTATTATTTAAATTGTAACAGTCCAGCACCAACTGTATTTAATGTATTTTGTGTATTACTCAGAGTTTTCATTTTATTCGCAAAGTTGTTATTACCATTTCTCTTTATATTAGCCATAAAACAATTTTCGTAAACACATTTAGTGCTGAACGCGTTTATAACTTGAAGTGAAAACCATTGAAGAAAAAATAATTGTACTTAAAACAAAACGACTTTAGTTTTTATCAGGCATATAATTGCTTGTGGCACATTATTTATGATGAGAAGATGGTCGCTCATAAGTCATAAAGCCATCGAAATGTAACTATTAACTTAGGGAATTAAACCACAATTGCAGTCAAATTGTCTGTTATTTTTATAATCAAGACTTAATTTACTTAGTAAAATAGTAAAAACTCCAATACAAAATGTACAGTATTGTAGAATTGTGATGGTCAATAAAGACTTTATTATTAATTTAGGTTATCATATGTGGTAACAGTGTAAGAGCAGTAATATAATAGTCTAATAGTTCTGAAACTGATTTTTTTTACTTAAACTAATGGTTCTATAAACCATTAATTAATTAATTATTTTGAAGGTAGGTAACTAATGGAAATACAATGACAAATCAAAGTCACTTATGTTTGGTTATACTATTGCAACTGAATTTATTAATGCATTGCTCCAATCAATCTATGAACACATATTAAATTATTGTCCTTTTGATTAGCATTAATAATGGTCATTACAAGCAGTATTTTGCTTATCCCAATTATTTTGAAAAGTACTAGGAAGTGTAGATATTTTACTTATTCTCACCACCCAAAAATAGCAACGAATTTGGAAAATTGCACTTTCCAAGTTGAAGATATTTTTCTTTTATAAAAATTGTCTTTAGACACACATACAAAACTCACACACACATCGCATTATAAAAACAATAAATTCATCCCTCCCCAAGTCGAAAATAAATATTTTATATACGTAAAACGTACATTTTACTTAGCGAGGGTTAAATGTATGAGTATTGATACTGATTACTCGGTGGCTTTTCTACTCAAGTTCCAAATTCCAAAACAACGTAACCATAATTCATAAATATTGTAATACATTTTTTAAATAATAATTTTTATTAAATTCAATGTTTCTCGATTTAAGTTGTGCTAGTATTATTCATGTTTCCTATTGGTGTGTGCCTACGATTAAACAAACTTGGTCATCATTATTACCTAGTAATAAGTAGTAATAACTGATAATAATTAATAATAATTTTATACCGTGGATGTTCAATATTTATTGAAATATTAGATATAATTGGTTTATACAATCTATTAACTTTTGTTTTATTTTAGAAACAAATTTTATCGTATTATTATTAGGGGAAACTATTGTGTGAATAATGACTAAAATTTCTTTGAGTAATATCGAATTGCTTATTTAATATTATATTGAGAGTATCACCAGTGAGCTTTAATGAACAGTAGATCATGTTTCGTCATATTAGACCTCACACAAAGGAGAACAATATAAATAAACGTGAATTAATGTTGACGTGTAATTTCAAAATAACTATGTTAAGCTTTTGTTTCACTGACACGGAAATGGGTTTTCGGTGGAAGTTAAGAGACGCGAGTATAGCGTTTTTTTTTCATTTTACTTACCTACATAATATACAATATTATAAGAGTATATATAAATTATATTATGAAAATTAATGTGATTTTTTGTTCGTAATAATTTAGAACAAAACAATCAGTCTTACTTTATCATGTATTTATATTATTATTATTTTGATAAATTACCTGAAATATTAAAAGCACAGTCCATACTATTCTAATATTTTGCTTCACGTTAACAAAATTTTTACCAAGTCTGTAGATTTTAGATTTAAAAACACTGATGCTCTTAAGGGCACAAGTACAGTTCCGAAACAATGTAATAGAATAGTTGTGGGTGAGTTGGTTGTAGTTGCAGGGGTGTCTACTGAGCTAAAGTTTAGTATTCGTTTCTATAACAACTATTATTAGGTACATAATATTCATAATACAAAGTATTTAAAGCGTAAAATAAATACAAAAGTATTATATTTAAAAATATATACAGTATATTTTTAAATATAAATTATCAAATGATTAAAAAAAAATTAATTATGTTACTATACAAATGTGCAATTACGATTATGAAACAAGATACTATATATATTATACTCGCGCAAACTTACAAGTTACAACGTCGGAAACTATAATCTGATATTGTATAGTCGTATAATTAATTTTGAGGTGGACTACCCTTATAGCTGTACGGGGTGTCACTATATAGAATACCGCGTTTATATCAAATACAGACTGTGTATACTTATAAATAATGTATTATTTCAGGGCCAAAATATTGGGGCGTTTTGAACCCGCTGTGGAAGTTATGCTCGATTGGCAAACGACAATCTCCGATTGACATTGATCCGGATAAACTGCTGTTCGATCCATTTTTGAAAAATCTTCACATCGATAAAGACAAAGTGAGAGTAAACCCATATGTATATATATTATTTTGTACAGCCGTCGTGTTTTTGTAGCTACCGCGCTCAATTTAACAGCAATATCGTATTCAGCAGAGTTATTTCTATATATAAATATATATTCCCGAATATTATGCAAGGATTGACGGAAAAATAATAAAATCTGTCTGGAATCAGGATTTTCAAGATGTACACATTTCATATATATATTATATACTTTACAACCATACAGATATAATATGGCTTATGATGTATACGATATACCTACGCGTATTATTATTATTTTATTTTATTTTTTTTATGAAAAATGGATTTTGAAACGGAAAGCAATATGTCAAAGTATAATATAACGTCTTGATAACTCAGCCGACTATATTAATTTTGTTCTCTTTGGCACTTTTTTTCCTACCCACGTGATACACACACACACACGTGTATAAATAAATAATATATCTACTGATAACAAAAGGCATTATTATGTTTCAAAATTAATTTTTCAAAAATCATAACATATTATGGTAGGTGGGATACGCTTATGAAATATGTAAAAAGATTTAGTCAATCATTTTCTGTTGGATATTATTTTATTTGAATAATTACGTTCGTTATTCGCCTTATAATAAATCTGTTTGACGTAATACAGGTCAGTGGAACAATCGAAAACACTGGACAGTCTTTGGTGTTCAGAGTGGATAAAGAGTCGAAATACGTTTTGAACATCACCGAAGGTCCTTTGACTTATCGCTATCAATTCCAAGAGTTCTACATACACTTCGGCACCGATAACAATCTCGGGTCCGAACATAAAATCCAGGGTTACTCGTTTCCGGCTGAAGTAAGTATTTATGTTACTATATTTTCTTCGAATAAACCGTGGCTTAACAATACATAAACTAACTTGTGATTGTATATCACAAGCGGAATGAAGTTGATTTTTGTATTGCAATGTAAAATCACCTTTGAAGGGAAAATGTGATTAAATTAGCAAAAACTGCATGTTTCAAAATATCTATTATTAAAAGAAAAAAAATTAATCAGAATTAGAATAATAGAGCTCGAAAGAAATCTCTATCGATACGAATAAATATTAATTTAAATTGTGTGGACAATTTTTCAATTTACCTATAATTTATAATATTTTGTATTTATACACGTGTTGTAGGCATAGATATGTACCGACTTACAATGGATTTGAAACTTGTTTGTAAAATTGAAACTACTTTCACTGCAATATTTCAAGCACTCATTGTAAATATTGATATGATACAGTTTAAACAATCGCATAAGTGTATTTATTTTTATGACTTTCCTCCCTCGCTAGGAGCATATGAAATATATACTATACAACTGCTGCTGCGTATAATGTACATAATAATAAAAAATAATTCCGTATTCATCAAACGAATGGCAATTTTTTTTTTTTATTATGATTATATTAATAAAATATTTTATTGGACAAAAATAGAATATTTTCCAGGCTCAATTAATTATTTTAATTGATGGGAAAGAAACAAAATATCATACAACAAGACGTGTTTAATGCATCTTATACATGTTTCTGTTCACTTGTACTAAACGATTCATACATTTTTCATAACGTTTCTAGAAGATTTTTTTATACTATGTATTATTCAAACTGTGAGACACTTCCACCGTGATTTATAATTACCCGTTGTGTAGTTATCTTGTGAAAATCAACACCGTCCACCTACAGGAATCACTTTGTTCAGTCAACGGTACACACGTCGTACATGCAGAACCCCTGAAGTCCTTATATTATAATGTTATTATGAGACCCTGAATTTCCTATGCTTAAGTAACAACCTTCAGAGTTTTAAGTAAGGCTAATCCAATTGTCACCCGCATGGGTCTTTATTTCTAATTATTCTCCTTATTATTATTTATTTTTTTTATGTCGTCTAAATAAAACTTCGAGACAATGAATTGATTTAGTAACTTAAGTATTTAATACTTAATATCTGAGATAATCGTCAATATTGTGTTTGATTGACGTCAAATAGTTTATATTATATATTTGAGTTTTTGCCACATAATAATACATTTATTTTACATTGTTCACTTTTGAAAAGTTATCGTTTTATTTGTTCCATTATTTTTTAAATGTCTCTCTTGGAATCACGTCGAATCCAATAGGGCGAATCCGAGTAAATTTACTAGGTTTATGTATAAGGTCTTTGGGTCTTTCTCTGCATAAACTAATACATTAATTATTACTACTCGAACAAAATCGTTTATTTTGTATTATTTCAAAATCGAGTTAATTGGTTAAACGAAAAAACAAAAAAAAAAAACAAAACATTAAATGTTCTACGATTTTCTCTCTATAAATTGCCTCCAATGTTGAACACGATAATTTGTATCTTTCGATAAAAGTCTGTGTAATTTCAAAAGTTCATGGAAGTTGTTCGGTGCGAAAAAGTTATTCCACTCCACAAAAAAAGGGTAAAGAAAATTCAAATAACGAACGCACATAATATATTATATATAGGTATATATATAATTAAAAAAGGACACCGTGTGTTGATAATTTATTAACTCTAGGTATAAAACTTGTCTAGATAAACAAAATATATTATAGTGTGAATAGGTTTCTACAATTTTTCGTTTAAATTTTATTACATCGGATGCTTATTAAAAGTTGAGTATATTATACAAACAAATTCGCTGCGTATTTATTATATAATATTATGTACCTACTATCGTCTACCACCATGCGCCAAATTTTTATACTTTACTATTTCTAGTAAACGTAATGGTGATTGATATACCAAAATTATTAACGGTGAACGAAAAAAAATTCCAAAGGAAAATAGCAAAAAAAAAAAAGCATTGATAAAATTACTGCACATTCAATTGTTTATACATTTTAAATACTGCAGTTGGTTATACTGTCTAAAATATACAATTTTAGATGCGGGTTATGTTATTATTATAATTTTTAATCTATTAATTAAATTTACTATACACAATTCATATTATTTACCATATATTATAATTTCTAACAGATATCACATAAACTTAGCATATTATTTTTTAAATCAACTGGAAAAACTCGAGTGTTTATTTTTGAACATAAAATAGAAATAACGGCTCATCAATTTAAAATCTTTAAGTCAAAGTTTCTGTGTCTTGCATAGGTGAAATGTACGTCTTAGAGTCCCAAAATGCCCCCACAACATTACGCATCACTTTTTTTTTTTAGTCATTCACTATCTAGTATTATTCATTTATTATAACAAATTTGAGTTCCAAAAAAGTTTGATTTAGTATCATATATATTTTAATAGGTACTTCTATTATATAATATTATACTCTAGAATTCATGATACAATTAATTTGTATATATAAATTAGTTGGATTTTTTTCTTTTTAAATTCATTATTAACACGATTATTTCCTACATTATACTTTGATAATATTAATTGTCCGAGGCTCGATTTTCGTGATGTCTACATATATTATGTCGTTGCAGACATCGCAGTCCCAGTTTCAAAAATTTTCCGTTTGTACTAGGTTTCGATATAAAAAGCGTATAGCCCATGTCTTACCCCAGGCACGTATATTATAATATACACATTATAATAATATTATACCGACCACGTTATTGTTTAATCCGACCCTTTCACTACGAATTCCAATAGTTTATCTAGATCTGTTGCTTTCAAAATGACTATTTTATTGACCGGGGAGTTGTTGAGTTATAATTTCGTAGTATTTCAAAATCACGAGTGCTCCCAAGTTATTAGATGTCACGACCGCGCATATACGAATGGTGTAATGATAGATCGTCCTGTTGGATTTTCACTTCCTGGATGTAATTTTGCACGGAAATTCGTCAAATGTGCGTATAGATCTGTTTACGTACATAATCGTTCAAACGCGTTTCTCCCTTCGTCGAATATTCTCTCACATTTGAATAATTTTCCAATACTCGTGCCGGAACTAGTATAAATTCAATTTCTATGTGGAACGCATTACCACTATGTGGAATGTTGTTTCCGTATACCGTAAAATCTGAACAATATAAAAGCTACACGAGAAAACATATTGTGGAATCCAATTTTCAAATTATTAGTTTGGGTAAAATAAACATAATATGCTATTTCACTATAATATACCCCATATACGCCTGTAATAATAATATAATATGTGCATACTAAAGTAAATTGAATCGCATTTAATACAACTGTAAGGCAAAAGTGCACTAAAAACACCTCCAAACTTTTTTCTCCTTAAAATATAATTTTCAGCAAAATAAGCTAATATTATTTCAATGACTTCATTTAATATTAATATTGAACATTTACTATTGTTCACTCCACGACCATATTTGAAGAGCACCTAAGCATAGGTGGAAATCAATTCAAATTTCAGGAGGCTAGCATTTTTAACATCAATATAAATGTGGGAGGGGAGGTGGCTCGATCCTATACAACAACAAAAATGATTTTCTGGGAGCTATTTGGATATTTGGAGAGGTTAACCCCCCCCCCCCCCTCCCAAGCACTATTTCCGCATATGTACTTATGTTAATATTTCATAAACTTTCTTAATAATGATAGATAATTATAAACTCAACCGATCCGATTGTCTATTTATTAAACAGCTAAAATGCAATAATGATGTAATTATTTTTTTAATGATTGAGTGAATATATTGATTAATTTCAAGTTATATTTTTTTTTTCATTTTTTTTCAATACTTTTAGTTGCTTCTTAAAAATTTAATACATTTACTTTCTACATGTTTCGTATTTTCATATTGTACTTTATAACTTTATCAATAGTTTGATGATGGTAATTTACGTCCACATGCCAAAGTTATAGGTTTCTTTAGTATATTTTACAAAATAAACAATAAAATGTGAAAACTAATATGATACCTACCTGCAAGTCCGTATATAATATCATGTTCGTTATTTTATTTTGCACTACCTACCTAAGACGATTCTTTTTAGTGTCTTACAGCAGATTTAAGAATTGTATTCTTCGACGCTGATTAACTGTTTTTGTGAACCTTTTTCACTTCATTATTTGTGTTAAATGTAAATTATATAGTTATTTTATCATATTAATTTAAATAAACATTACATTTTTGAATAAAAATGAAACAAGAACATTTTTTTGAGAGCTAAAATTAAGTGCTCATTGTATCGTACACATCCCAATCGATACATCGGTGCGTGACTTTATTAGGTAGTTAAGTTTTTATTAGGAAATAGCTACATGGACATAGCTAGTAAGCTTCATTCTTATGAGTATTTTCGTATACTGATTTCACCAAACAACGTCTGTGATTTATTGTATTACCTTTTAGAAAAAACAAACACATTACCACTTGGCAATATGATTTATTTTATACTCTATGACGAGGTTTAGAGCACCAAAATATATCCGGACGCGTTATTGGAAAAATATGTATTTATACATATATGGATCTATATTCAATACTATAATGATATTCCAAATAGTTAATGTCCAAAATGTTCAAAATAATATGTCTCATTATTTCTAAAGAGTGCCTTCAAAAACTTCGTGTTGTTGAGTAATTTATGGGTGCCATGATACGTTTAAATTGAAGCCACTGTCATTGTACTAAACTGGATGTAAAAAAATCCAGTTCATTAATTTGCTAAAGGGCGATTATGTTTTCGTATTTTGTTTATAAATGCATTTGCAGAAGTCTTACATTTTATTCGTTTGTGAATCATTAATATACTTGTACCTATATATCATAGTTATTGATTTAAAATGTGACATGTGTGTATTTTAATGAAGTGGTTATTTCTTGGCCGGTTGTCTTTTGATAATAAAT